GCTGAAGGTTGAGTTTTATAAAGCCCCGAGGGAGCGATATGACTAATAGTTGGCTTTGCTGAGAGGGAAAAGAAGAGTGGGAGAGATTAGTGGAGGAGAGGATTAGCAGAGACTACAAAATAAGCAGAAACAAGGCAGGGAGACAAAGATACGATGGTGGAAGTAGGTTTGAAGTGAATGAAAACGCGGTAACCGAGGACAGAGTGGAGTGGTCTGGGAGAACTAAAGGCAGAAAAGAGGAGTTTGCCATTATAGATAATAGTGTGTGTGAGGGATAGCTGGTAGCTTTTTGCAGACACAGTGAGCACGGTGAATGTGGGAGGGAGAGGGAGATGGAGGCCAGCACAGCTGAGTGGTCTTGATTGGCCTGTTTGAAAACACACGGGCTGCAGACAGTGAGGGAGAGAGGCTCTGTGCGCTGGGATAAAGTGTCGCTCTGTGCCGTGCCACGCTGCAGCCCAAACCACATTAGAGCAAATGAATCCATTCCACCTCCTGTTATGGCAGCTCCCACACGGGGCTCCAGGAAGGAGGAGGAGGAGGAGGAGGAGGAGGAGGAGGAGGAGGAGAAAGGGAGAGAGGGGTAGTGGCAGGAGGAGGGTGGAGATATGGGAAGAAAATGATAGAACAGAAAATGGAAGGTGCTGTATGGGAGTCACATGCTGGGTGGCTCTAATGATGTCTGAGGGCTATCGGGAAAGCGGAGCAAAAGGCACACACAGCAGAGGTTGTGGGGATAGAAAATCTTTGACCGTACAACTGAAGACGGTAAGGAAGGGGAGAGGATCTCCCACCGTGCCCAGAGAGTAGGAGTGATGGTGGCTCTTCCTCATCCTAATGAAGTTGATCTCTGGCCAAACTCAACAGAAATTGCGTTTCTATACTGTCCATGTCCTCTGCACCTTCTGTACAATCCAGTCAGCCCTTTGGAAGATGGAGCATTAAAATGCCCCCTACTATGCCATTTTTTTAAAAACTTAGTACAAAAACCCATTATTAGGAACTGGAGATATGAGTGAATGTACTTCCACCCTCAAGGTTTTTTTAAACTTATTCAAACCACAACTCTAAAATTGTCAACTGCTCGTCCAAGAAAGCATCCGCTGGAAGTTTGCTTTGAAACTCAGAGCTCTGGCTTGGCAGCAGAAGACGTGGCTGTTGATAATGTCCATTTGATGTCATTGTGGGACAACACTGTACGGGTACACCTAGTTAACTGGCGGTCATATCATTTTCCCACTTGCCAGATTGCTTGATCAATCCTTATTCTAAATAATTTCAAAGCAACAAACTATCTTATTGAGAATATTCTTGTACTTTGATGGATCTGTACCAGTTTGGCACATGTCAAACAAAACAACCTTCTGTTAGAGTACACTGAGCCTTTTGTAGAGGGGAGCTCAAAGAGACAGGATCGTTTCAGACAGTAAAACCGTTTAAGCTCACCCTTATCACCGAATCAGTGGAAGACTCCATTCCATGTTGAGCAGTCTGCATTCCTCATCATTAGAAAACAAAATGCTGCTTTCATTTTCCTTAGAAAAAAAAACACCAGCTGATATTACATGCTTATGTCAAGGTTTTGTTTTAGACTTTTCCATTCCACATGACCCAGATTTACTGTCTGTCAGGAAATCAAGCAAACCTTTATGTCTTTCTCATGGTAATTGCGTTGAAGTGGTTTCATTAAAAAATGACTGAACTTTAGTACTGACTCTTAGAGATGTTTAAAAGCTTTCTGGAAAGTAACGTTTATCGGTATACTTTCCTAGTCATTTAAAAAAATGTTTTGAATTCTCCTAACTGTTATGCAGAAATACATTGTGTTGTCAAACATACACAGTACGTGGTACTGATTTTTCCAGCATTAGTATACATATGTTGTGTACTTTGGGTGCTTTAGGAAAATGCCGGGAATCCGACTTAAACTCTTAAAACAGATTTCAGAGCTTGCGAACTTGTTCTTATAGATTTCCCCGAATTAAAGTCGAAGCTTTAAACAACCACATCACTGATGGCACTTGTTCTTTGAACAGATGGCGTCAGTAATGTGCTTCAGTAGCACCAGGAAAAAAAGTTTGCTTTGGTTTGAGCCCAGCAGTGCCATTAAACTTGTGATGCATGCGGCTGCACTTTGGCACTCGGTGCCGTTTGTTCATATTTCGCATTGCTTACCCTGATAGTTTCGGCTCATGCTGGCTCAGCGTGCATTCGCTGCCCCTGTATTCACTTCTGTATTTCAGTTGTCATTTTTGTGTGTGAACATGTGGCAATATGTTACATTTACTAAATTGGACATCTCAAATATTTATTTTATAGAGCAGTTGGCGATTTATATTTATTAAACTGTGCTGATACCTGACAATAATCCAGTGGATTTACAATGGGGATAAAACATGACTGAGTAGCTCGGATCTTAGTCACAGAGATGTTACACCTGACAAAGGTAGCAGTCGTTTGTCTGAAATGAGAAATGACTCTTGCTATGACTGATCGCTCCCTGAGTGTGTTGCTGATAGTGACGAGATAATCTCAACCCTCTCCCCTCTACTTTGCCTCGGTCTTCCTTCCTCGCTGGGCCCGGCCCCTTTCCTGCCATACTCCACCGCCTTTCATATTACTGTGCTTTTGTTTCAGAACACTTGTTTTTTGCCCAGCTTCACCCCGCTTGTTTTGCTGTGCAAAGAGAGAAGGAAGGAAACCCCAAAAAAAAAGTATTTGAGAGAGGGAAAAAAAAGATGAATGCATCCTTGGATGTTGCTGTGCTCTGGTTCTTAGCAGAATATTCCCCATTGTTTTTAAAGGGGAGGTTGTAGTGTGTTTATCAGAGCGATGTGGAATCCTTTTTCTTTACACCTCTGGTAAGCAGCGCTGAATGTAGTTTATTAAGATGTTTGGAAGACAGTAAAGATTTAAGCAGGCCTGTCTATAGTGCGGGAAACTTGAAACAATGGTAGAGGCATGACTGGAAAATAGAAATCTGTAAATATTCTACACATGTCCATGTTTGTATTAGACTAGCTGTGAACGGGCTGAAAATGAAATGAAAAAGCAGAGTTTTTTTTGTGTTTTTTTGCAGGATTAAATCTTCAACTTCCCCTTCTGTGGTGAGGTGGCAGATTGCGTTGTTTCGTTTTGAGAGGGGTGGGGATGTGGGCCAACAGAAGAAGTTCTGACTGGTTTCCACAGAAGTGTCATTAGTTGTGCAGCCATTTTTTTTCACCCCTGAATGGGGCTACGATGCTGCAGTGTCTGTCAGCCAGTAACGGTGCGCCTGTCAGGTGAATTGACTTCTTATCTCGGTTACAACGCCCGGCCAAAGGACTCACTCCTCTTCCTTTCAGAACCCGAAGGCCCCGTCCACTGACTGACTGACAAAAACCGCTGCACGTGTATGAAAATAGAAGTGTTAGAGTGTGTCAAACTGCAGAGGCAAAGGAGGACGACTCTGCCCTCCACCCCATCCTCACCGCTTTCCGGTTCTGGCTTCCAGCAGGAAGGCGAGCCGGAGGAGAAGCGGTTAATCAATGGCCACAAGGTCAGACGGCCAGCACTGGGCTGGGGGGGGGGTCGCCCTGTTAGCGGTCCGTGGAGCTGCCCGGGTGCCGAATGGGATTTGTAGCACTTGTCAGAGCTTAAAGGAGCCCTCTCTGGACCACTTGCTTCAAGAGGAGTGTGCCAAAGAGAGGTAGTGGCTAGCAACAGGAGAGGGAGACATCTGCTGGAAGCCGGAGGACATCGCAACCCCCTCAGACCACGGATAGCAGCAGAATTAGGCCACCCAAAGTTCTGGTCATGTCATGCACAGTTAGACTGGCTCCGTGCCCGGCAGTGCGCTAATTTAGCGGTTTTGTCGGAACCTCGTAGCAAAAGACCAATGAATGCACACTGACAAGTGGTTGTTTACGGTTTGACGACATTTACTCCAGAATTCCACTTCAGTGACGCCAGCGGCGGGTTTGCTGATGTGTGAGGCTGCGTGAGAGCACTCCAGGTAATTCGACTCCGGTATGCTTAAGGCTGAGAGGATTAGTAATACAGCCTTATATCAAAGTGGTCCTTTGAAGTTTTACCTTTTGGCTTCATCAAAAACTGAGAATTGCAAGTTTTTGTGTTTACGTGCACTTAAGAGTGTGTGCATGCAATGGAATAAAAAAAAGAAATCTTTTGACGATAAGCCAACCGTGGCTGAGAACTCCTTTGCTGAGCTCTGAACCTCCTTTGCCTCAGATCTGTTCTGTAGCTTCGTTTCTCTCAGCGGGGAACCTTGGGGGACCCTTTATCAGCTCTGAGCAGCTTTTCCAGAGCCCTACCCCCACCCCCACCTGTGGTTCCTCAGTTTGCCTTTTGTGTGGAGGAATGTGGGGCGGACCAACGCCGATGCAGATAAACACAAAGGGATGGCGAGGGATGGAGAGCTGGCTGGCAAACCAGCACGATGCCTATTAATCCAGACTCAATCCCTCCCTGAGATGGGCAGAGTGGTGAGCATGGAGCTGAGATTGTTGTCGCGTCCACCGCCCATGCTGGAACCGAACAAAGAATACACAGAAAGAAAGCTGTGCTGTGAAGCTCAACCTTATCTTTTGCTCCTAGCGTGAAATAATTGTTTATGTCACAATGATAACTTTAAACACCAGAAACACGATTCTTGGGGGCTGTTCTTTCTAACTCTCAAGGAGTAAGACGTGGCTCTCAAAGAGCAGAATAAAAACCTTCATATTGTCTCCGTTTACCGTTGGCTGTGTTGCTGGGCTGCATCTCCGTTTCATGCATTTTCCCAAAAAATATGTGCTGGAGGCACTTCAATGAGTCAGTGTGTAAACAAGCCGGCTTCTCTCCTTGAACATTTGTCAAGCTGCTAAAATGCTGTTTGAACTTTACAGGCTATAAAGTCTGTACATGAGGGACCTGGCAGTTTCTAACAGATGTACCTCTCCTCCTCTTCCTCTTTCAGAGTAAAAAAAAACCTTTAATGGAGTCCCGGTAGAGGCGTCAAGATGAACACGTTACCATCGATGGACCGGCACATCCAGCAGACCAATGACAGGCTGCAGTGCATCAAACAGGTGAGCGCACCAGCCCTGCACGGCCCCTCGACTTATTTCACCGCCATGCGAACTAATGCATGCAGACTAATGTTCCAACGTTACTTTCTCCTCTCATCACCTTATAAGGGCATCAGATTGTCTGGCCATTAGCTGCAGTCACACAGATCATGTTGCACTGGGTCACAGAGGGAGGCAAGTCTGCCAGCGAACACAAGAATAGACTTCAAAGCAGCATAACAGGCTCCACTTTTGTCTCTTTCCTCCCCCTTTTTTTTTTTTTACCTCATCCCATGTTCCCTTACATCACTTTCTTCTCTCCTGACGTATGCCAGCCCTTGTTGTGGTTGTGCTTTAGATGCTTTCTTGACTGTCAGCTTTCCGTAGAGCCCCTCGCTGACAGATACAGACAGACAGTCAGATAGATGGAACCCAGGGCTACCGCCTCTGCTTGTGATTAATAGTCTGCAGAACTCATAGACTGCTTTGCTAGCTGGCAAGCTGTTGGCATATTTGTTTATGATATGGAGGTGTGATCCTTTTTATCTTCCAACATCCAAACGACACCGTGCCTCAGAATAAATGATGAAGCTTTTGGTGTGCGATTATAGAGTGACATATCCCTCTTATTCCTTTGGGACTGTTGTACTTATATCCCAGTACGAAAACCCTGTGTTGAATAGACTGAGAGCATCTTTATGTTGCGTGCAACCATATGTTGACATCACAGTCTTACAAAACCTTACTTTGAATAAAGCTCTTTACAGATTGGTAATGTTTTCTGTAATTGAAGCTCGTCACTTTAAGAAGCGTTTGTCACTGATAAGCCCTAAATAGCTGGATTTGAAACATCCACTGTAATAAATGTTCTAATTGTAGTTTGGTTTATATACTCCTCGGCTTTTGATATAAAAGAGCGTGTAGTAGCGCAGACTTCAAAGGGACTGGGTTAGTCAGAGAGCTCTGAGCTCGTGGCGGCTCTGCCAGCAGGGTGTTGTTATAGTTTGGGGAAATCCGCTGGCACAGAGCCAAGGGGTTCTGCTGGTTTTCGTGGAGCCAGGTAGACGCTGAACAGCCGGGGTAAGACGGCGGCTCGGAGAGGAGGAGAATCTGACAAACGTCTGGCTCCTCGTGTGTCGAAACCCCCGGCAGCCTACACCTTCCCGTTCCCGTCCTCAGCCCCAAGCTCCACGGCAACAGAAGCCACAGCCCGGGCCCCCTTCCTCCCTCCTGAACCCACGGCAGCCGGAGCGCAGGTTGTCAGGCAGAGTTTGTGGCGAGCGCTGCGGCAGGAGGAGCTGTGAGTTCAGATCCAGACAGACAGCCCCTGCTGTGCCAGTTCTGATTCCTCTCGCGCTGGAGGCTGACGCGCCTCACATCAAGCAGCAATAACGCCAGATCATATCACTCATCTAGAGCAGGCTCTCCTCCTCCCTCTCACTCAAACAAGAGCATCTCTCACTTCTCTGTCTGTGCTTTTCTTCATTACCAGTCAAACCCCTTTTGAGAGTTCACAACTAACTCTATAATGGCTAATCTTCTCATCACAAAAGATGAGTCACTCGTGGCCTCTCTCGATGCCCATGATATTACTGGAGGCTCTCAGAGATTTTCTCAGTGGGCGGATACCAGCCCTGACACATGGCGTTTGCAACCAAGAGCTCCTTTTGTTGCACGTTTAAAGAAAGAAGAAAAAAGGAAAAAAGAAACGCTCACCTCTGCTGCCCCCTAAAGACAATAGTTCTACACTGTCTGCAAGAACACACAACACAAGATGCTTCAGCTCTAGATGAGAATAATAAATGCTTTCAAGTGGGCTCAATCTCGCCAACTGAGCAAGCTGCAGCGCCGCGCCATTTCAGAGCTATTAACCTCCTGAGCCGTGAAGAAAGAGAGCCCAATTTTAAGACCGCTTATTGTGTCCTGCCAGCCTCAGTAGCCCTCAGACACTGGGAAGAAAAGACTCAACTGTTTCAGGCCTCGGTGAACAAGCCAGAGAGACAGACAGAGACTGAAAGAGATTAGAAAACACACCAACGGCGCGCTTTGAGTCTGCACACAAATCTGCCAGGACCAATGTTGTTTTCTTTGTGGAAGGCCAAATCAGCCAGTGGACTTCTGGAGCTGAGGTTCGGTTACTCTGAAAACAGCCCGGGACTGAGGGGAAGCCTGCAGGGAACGATCCGGTCGGTCATGGGAGAGATGGATGGGTGTTGCCAAGAGAGATTAAGAAGAAACACTAGCATCATTGTTGATATGAGTGTGATCTTGGTCTCATAATGCAGCAGAACCCAGAGTAGGCGTAGGTTGGAAAGAGTCAAGGTCCTTACAGGGTTGTGCAGAAGCACAAAACAGTAAACCAAGACAGTCTACAGGGTGAGCGTAAGGCTGCTAAACTATTTGGTTTTGGTGTGTTTCCAATTTGTACTTAATGTGAGAAAAAAATAACACTCATTATTTCTCATTGTTTGTAATGACGGTCTCCCCATCGTTTGTTTTCGCAGCACTTACAGAACCCGGCCAATTTCCACTCGGCTGCCACGGAGCTGCTCGACTGGTGTGGAGATCCCCGGGCCTTCCAGCGACCTTTCGAGCAAAGTCTCATGGGATGTCTGACGGTACGCAAACACCAATTATGGTTTTTGTCGAGTTTTTCAGGTACTTTTTCGGAGACACGAGAAAAACAGTAATTAGATTGTCCGCGCTTGGCGATGAGGGAAAAGATGGGCTGGTGTGTCCAGTTTTTTTTAAACGTTGCAAGCGAAACAATCTATGTTTGGGTTATACTTTCCCTGCAAATCATAAAAAAACAATTCAATGGGAGGTTACAGTCTCGCTGTCTTTTCTAATTCAGCAGCCTTGGCCGTCAGTTTAGTTTTTTCAAACTTTATATAGACACTGAATGGTTGAAAAATAGGTTTTTCATCTTCACAGATATGTTTTTCTGTAGCTCGTCTGCTCTGGTGCTCAGAGCTCGGGATTCCCTGTAAAAATGTTCACGGACAGATTCTCTTCATGTCAAGCATAAACTGAATGTTTCAAATGTTTAGTGCTAACTTCAGGCTTTGAGGCCCTGAAGGGGCATTGTTCCCAGCTGAATTGTTCACGTGAGCAAACAGATAAATGCTCATTAATGTGTAAATCACAATAAAAGCCTCTTAAAGGCTGATAAAGAGCCACACAATGGGGCCCACCACCGAGATCCCTCCCAGCATGGGGCTCTTTCCATCAGCTAAATTGTTTCATCAGACTCGGAGAGCTAACTGCTGCTTATCTGGAGAATTACTGCATGCAACAAGTCCACGCATTCTCTCAAGGATTTAGCCTTGAATTGTAATTTGAAAATGACTCTGTAAATCAAGTGTATGCCTCGTTGTGTAGCCCCCCTTGTTCTGTTTGGCACATTGTGCGTGTGGAGGTCGTCTTGTGATCCGGCGTGGCCGTATATCCAGCAGAAGATGACACCTCTGAGCCGACTGCTGTGCTGGTAGCATTGTCTGAGCGATAATTGTAGATTTTGTCTCACTTCATGCATGCTGTGTCTCGTATGTGTGGGTGGAGTCAGAGCACGCAGACATGCCGCATGAATATTTCTGTCTTTGGTCCCACACTTTTTGTAAAAACACCCACGTAGTTCATTGGGAGCTGTCTTCCAAATATGACCGTTTTAGCATTGAGCAGAAAAACCAGTTGGTTGTTTTTTCTCCAGTGAAGAGATAAACTCGAGTCGGCGTGGCCCGCTGACCCCCTAGCACCTCCGCTATCCCTCCATTCAAACTTATAGGAATATAGCCCGGTTGTAAGTCGTAAGAGGAAGATTAAGCTGGGGGAAAAAAAGGCTTATGAGGTGAAGTATTGTTTAATCCGTGTTGAATCTGTGGTAGCTTCTGTAGCTGGCTGGCTGCCTTGTGTAAACTGCAAGGCAGACTCACTCACGCAGGAAATTAAACAACTGACAACAACATGGTTTGACCGTTTGTCAGGACTGTTTGCATAATATGGTTTGGTCGAATGAATTACCCTGACATGCCAATGCCTCCTAAATAGCCCCAGATAAATGTAACACGGCTGCACGGGAAGTGTATAATTGTATGGTATTATCTATTGTTTGAAACAATTCAATAAGCCCAGTAAGTGACATTAGGTCTGCATATCAGGTTAGCAGACACGAACTCTAATTTCTCATTTTTTGAACATTTTACTGTTTGGGTGTTTGGATTTCCAACATTTTTTTACCATGAGACGCAGGCTGGCTCAGGGTGGACTTATTGGAAGATAACCTTTAAGGAACTCTGCAGTGAAATTCTGCAGGGTGACTGTGGTTTGGCTCTGTCAGTTCTCCTGGAGGAGCATGCAGTCATGAGACTGGTCTCAACTGGAGATGGCTGGAGCAGTCCAGACTGCAGACTCCACATAAATCTACTGTGTCTGAGAGTGTTCGCAGAATGCGAGACTCGCAAGGGAGAAATTAAGTTTAATGATAGCATAGGCTCAAAAATACAAGACGGGTTCTGAAAAAGAAAAAGAAAAGTGAAGATTTTGCATCATTTCAACCAGGCCTTCCTCTTGACTATTTGTCTTAATCATTTTTAGGAAGTTGAAATATCTTAGGAAAGTAAGCAATGTATGCAGGTTAATATGATGGATACACAGTTGTTTTTGCGTCTCTCTGTGCAGGTGGTGAGTCGTGTGGCTGCTCAGCAGGGGTTTGACTTGGACCTGGGCTACAGGCTGCTTGCTGTTTGTGCTGCCAACCGGGACAAATTCACTCCTAAGTCTGCCGGTAAGACTCTTTGCTTAAACAAAATGCAAGCAGATGCATGCTCATCCTTCATAACCATTTACTGCTGTTGACTCGTAGCTTCCTCAAAGCTTCACTCATGAAGACACTTCAATTCTCATTTCACCCGGCTATACTAACCAGTAGCGTAGTTTCCTAATAATGTTGTTCATTTCACGGCTTAAAAACAAATAAACATGTTTTAAAGTCACCATAAATCCCATGGTTTGAAATGTTTGATTTCTACCAACTAGTGCAGCCACAGACATAAAAAAGAGCCCACAGAGCCTCATAATGTCAAGATATTTTTAGTTCCCATTAAACATTTATGTGCTATTGAGATGAGCTGTCTGAGTGGTAGCTTCTGAAAAACAGTCCACTCCACAGTCTTCCTGCACAAACCCACACTTGTATGTGCAGCCCGCGTGCACGCACACATGACGCGGGGGAGAGAGAGCAGTAATGCTATCCTCAGACATTTATCTATCAAATCCAATTTCCCCCCTGATCCATACCTCCCCTTCCCGCCTCCCGCAGTCCTGCAGGAGCAGCCTGTTCTTCTGCATTTAGTCAGAGTAAAAACGTGCAGAGGCGGGAGAGAGGAGCGATGGAGGAAAAAAAAAGAGATGGATTGGCCGGAGAGGTGTTGCTGATGTGTGCCGGACCGTTCACTGACAGAGACCTGACGCCAGCCGATCAGCAGAACGCAGATAAATCTTCACTGAACACACATATATGTGGGAGAATTAAAGAGTTTGATACTCTTTGATTTCTATTTTTTTTGCAGTGTTTTTGACAGTTTTGACACTGTCTTGTGCCCAATTCAGAAGCATGAAAAGGAACTCTCTGAAATCTTATCCCTCCATTCTTTGTTGTTGAAACAAAAGATTGAAAAGCCATTTTTTAAATTCAAATCCTCCATGATAAGAGCTTTTACTGAAGCTGAATATCCTCTTTCAGTTGTGGCGGGAAGCATCTTGTTGGAACGAACCTAAGTGGTCAGACAGACGTCAGTGGACAATATTGATTGCTGTATTTCTCCCTCTGTCTGTGTTCCTGTGTGGGGATAATGTGATTGTCGTGCGGGCACGGCTCTGACTGGCTCGCTGAGCCCGACCGACAGCCAGAGTCGTCTTCAGGCCAGCTGATGGTTCTGGGATCTAATAGAAAGCGATGCTTAGTTTCAGGAAGAGCTGTTTATGCACAGCAGACAAATGGGACGCGGTGTAATTATGCGGGGTCTGAAGGAGGGAGAGGAGATATGAAGCAGCCAGTCATGAGATGAGGCGGGCCCTGCTGTCGGGTTGGGAGGCAGATGTGACTCAGGGGCAGATCTTACTCACCGAGCATCCGTGTCGGCTCCCTTACAAGGACGCCTGTCTGAGAACACAGACCAGAAGGGGGGGACAGAGGAGACATGATATGCATAAGCAAAATACACCTCCATGAATATGGATAAGCCAAGATGCGGAGAAACGTCCGGCCTTTGCTGCTTTTTAAACAGCCCGCGTGTGCATGCGTGTGTCGATGCATGTCTGATTCCGCAGTTCTGGCATGACGTTCTGACAGTCTGCATGGCGACAGAGGTCTGCAGACCTGACACCTGAGAGCTCAGATCAGGGTCAAGCAGTCTGGGATGCTGTCTGTGGGCTTCTCAGGGGAAGAGGCAGAGTGCAGATCTGCCATACTAACCCCTCACTTTAAAAGCGTCAATTATCCTAGTCAGACGAGGCAATTGTTGCAAAAGATCTTTTTAATTGAATGTGTATTTTTCACCTCAGCAGGAAAAATGTCAAAACTTTTTGCAAATAAGCCGAAAATATTTCAGTTTAAGTGCTCCACCTGTGACCGTGCATCTGCTTTCCTCTCAGTACCTTCTGGCTGAGATCAGCCGGGAGTGAACTGCAAAAGCGTGGGGGCACTCGACCCAGTAAAGACCGTCGAATGAAGCTGAGAGATTTCCAGCAACAGCAGGCTGCTACTGATGAGCTGTCTGGAGATTGTGACCCTGCAGTGAAGCCCGGGGATTATTGTGTTGCTCTAATCTGGAATCAGCCAGTGAGGAGAATTATCTGCTGTTAGGCAATGTAGCATTAGCACTGTTAACTCTCGGAGCAGAGTATTTGAATTTGTGTTTCTCTTTGTCTTTGAGCGATATCTGGGTTTAGTGTAGTCACCCTGTACTCGAGGGATGAGTCCTTTTGTGGTAACGAGTCAAATTATGATTCATCGTATAAGTCATTGTGAGACTAAAGGTTATAGGCTTCTACCAGCAGATTTCTAACTCTTGAGAGGTTCATCAGATGCTAGGTGTGCAGCTGCCCTACATATAGTCACTACCCAAACAGGCTGAGCTGTTGGGCTACTGTGAAGTTCAGCAGACAACAAATCAGATTATCCACATAATCTGTCCAGGGTTTTGCCGTTTCCATCCTCAGTGAATCTGCCAGTCTGTCATCGTGCTCATAACCGCTCTCTTTATGAGGCTAAAATCACAGTAGTAAACTGTTTATGTGAACCTCATCTGTTTGACAATTGAATTGTTAAATGTAATTGAATCAAATCACAAGTGTGGCTTTTCTTGAACGTCTGTTGTGTTTTAAAACAAGACCAGACATGTTCTGGATGGCAGTTACAGTAGCTCTTTGAAATGGAAACATTTGAATGATCCTGTCTGTTGTTGGGGCAGGCACCGTTTACTGCTTGTCATTCAGAGAAATGATAATTGGGTCATTTTTGTTTGCTGGCATTAAACCTCAGTTTAAAAGTCAGAATAACAGAGATATTTTGGATGTATTTAAGTCTGCACAACTGGGTGTTTTCCGTTTTCGGTGTAGTTTTCCGTCCTCAGCTGAAGAGTAAGTGGGAGAGTCGAGTAAGCCTCAAAGTCTAAATCTTTGCATTGGGCTGGTTGGTTGTGTCCTTATCCCTTGCGCTCTTTACGTGTGATTTTCTGGCAGAACTGTCAGCACTTTCAGTCAACAAAGTGCTTACAAGGTGATTTGCTGCTTCACGTCAGGAAAACAGGCGTTCTGTCAACAGTGACAGAAAAACTTCCTGCAGGGTGTGGCTGGAACTCACCTCGTCTCCTTTAATCAACACCCCCCCCTCCCCCACATGCCCATAAGGCCCAGAATGTAGCAAGCTGAGCAGGAGAATGGAGAAGTCTGGTAAAACGCCCCCATTAGACTTTGCGCAGACCCGCTGGGCAGCATTTGAGTGCTTCTCTTCTTTTAGCTGACAACAATACTTATCTGTTTCAATTTGCTTTTGCTCGATTGATTTTTGAGCCCCAGCCTTCTTTCCATCTTTAAGCAGTGTGTGTAGCGCGATTAGAAGGTGTAGGCATCCTTTGTCACTGACCCAATCAACCTTACAGACTTTTATATTTGATTACTGCTGAGTAAGAGCAGTGCACTGAATTATTAACAGGAAACTTGGTTTATTTTTAGCGGGCGGGCCTCTCCTCTGACACTCCAGTGCTGCGTTTCAGATGATGAAACCCCTTTGCAACCCCACATCTACCTCCAGAACTTTACTATGAAGTTTATAGAAGTAAATCTCAAGGGGGAAGTACTTAGAAGGAAGACTTCAGCTGCTGCCTATAGCAGAAGAGGTACTCCGCCACTCGCTGTTTAATTAGTTTGCTTTACACAACTGCGAGTTTTGGATTTGTCATACTCCAAACACAGAGGGCTTTGTTCTTGTCTAAACCGGATGAGCAGATGATTTGAATCCTCGTTTTGTTCTGTGCTGATTGATCTGGCACCCGGACCTCAGGACACAGCCAGCACCCCCACACAAGCCCCCATACCCTGGGGGGCTTTTGCCACACCCTGTTAAACTTATATATCTGGCGAACAAAGCTTCTGTTGTTTGAACGTGGGTGTCAGGGCTGCGTGAGATCTTTTTTTTTTCTTTCTAAACTCTCGATGACTGAGTGTGCTACACAAAAGCCACACAAAAGAAAACTTCCCTCTGCTGTCAAGAGGCTTGTGGGCTTGCCCTCTTTCAGGCTGCGCGGCTCATCTCAGCGTTTGGGTGACGGCTGGGTTGTGTTGTTGTTTCGTGTTGCGTTGAGGGGCAGGCTAAGACGATGAACTCGGATTCACCCTCGGCATCCTTCTTCTTTGATTAATTTCCTCTGCTCGTCTCTGACATGTCTTGCGAGTTAGAGTAGCAAAAGGCCCTCTGATGAAGACAAGGGGGATACTGTCAGATTTTTACCATCCGGCCGGCAGGGATTCCCTCTCTCTCTGATAAGCCCAATAACTTACTGCTTGTCTGTCTCTGAATAGATTGATCTGTCTTCCTCTCCCACTTCCTCTCTCATGCACTGGCTTCCACCCAGCCTGCATAACATATTAAGCTCCGCCCATTTATGCAAGTTTGCAAACTGAGCCTGCAGAGGCTTTTTTTTTTTTTTTTCTCCCCCTTCTGGTTTTCTTTGCCCTTCTTGACAATTACCACTCGGAGTGCTGGAGTGTGCACGTGTGCCTCCCAGCACACCGTATGTCAGCTTAGTGTAATGCGGAAATGCGGAGCTAGACTGATCTCTTCAGTTACAGCAAAGGTGAGAATCGCTGGAATATCTTGCCTTCTCAATCTCTTCTCGTGTTCGCCCGCGTTGGCTAGCTGTCTTTATCTCTTCCTCTCATGCTCCCTCCTCCTCCTCCTCGTCTGTCTCCACTGCTCCCCCTGTCTATTCCTCTCCATCCCTCCCTCCCTCCGTCCCTTCCACCCACTGTCTCGTAAGTGTGTTGGAGCCGGTAGCAGGTACAGCAGGAGCCCATTAGTGCAGAGCCCCGCTCTGATTGGATAAGCTGAGGAAACCGGGAGACTGCCTCTGAATAATTGATGTGCATTGTGCAGACGCTGGACAGGGGAAGAGACAGATCAGAGAGCTGAGGAAGAGAAAGAAAGAGAGAGGAAGTAAAGAAGACAGAAAGAAAGCAGAGTAAGGGATATGTACAGTGAGTGAGAGTGATAAGGCGCTGGCAGGA